GAACCTAAAATATTTTAAGGTTTCTGAATTTGTATTCAACTTTCTTCATTGCATAAGACTAATTTTCCATTTTCTTATCTTGGAACAGAAAAAGACATTATTATTTTACACTTATGGCCTGTAGCACTGCAGCCTTGTCTGTTTGATTTTATGATATGAGAGCTTTATTCCTCTCTATGTTGGCTGCATTTGAACTGAAGACATATAGTGCGATGGATCAAGTTCATTTCAGAGGTTCTACCTCACTAGCTGTGCAGCATCTGCATCTGCACTAGAGAAGCTGCAGCGTTGGCCATTTGGAAAACTAATTATCTATTATAGGTGGCATGTTGGCCAGAGTCAATGACCACAGAGCTCTATGTAACAGCCTGTCTTTTATCATTTGCAGCTTCACAGCCTTAAACCCTCAATGTGAAGAGGAAACCATACAGTATGTCTATAGGCCAATAGCTAATAGGCTGTTATCCTTCCAGTCCCTCGTGGGTTCTTGTGGCAGACTTTATGTGAAGAGCAAAAAGGAAATAATTCATTTTGACTGAAATGATTCATCTATGCAGTAACTTCAAAGCCAAACATATGAAAGGAATCATTTAAAATCTCTCTTTCCGTGTTACGAATCGTCCTCATGCAGCATTTCTCTAGAATAGATGTTGTACTGTTTCTAAGACAATCAATGGCATTATTATTCATTCCAAATTTTGAAAATGTGTTAAATTTTGAACATATAAAATAAAAAAAAGTCATAATGTGATCTAATAAATGTGAGTACTTTGGTGCCTCCTATTTAGACAAGGATAGGCAGCTTTATTTGTAAAGCACACACACACACAGAAGCCAGAAGCAGTTCAGTGTGCTTTCCAGGAGCAGGAACAGCAAGAACATAAAACTTTACAATCAATGTGACAACATAAAACAGCAGATTTTACAATCCAATTCTAAATACACAAATGCATTTAGATGAAATTTCATTAAAATAAGATGATGGAATGAGGTAAAATGAAAAAGTTAAAGCCTGAGCGGTTACAGTGCAGAAGGTGCAAAATAAGATTAGCATTCATTCAAAGGCTGGTGAATACATGAAAGTTTGCCATTTTGATATAAAAGTTATTGGAGTTGGGGCACATTTGAGTTCATAAGGAAGAAGATTCCATCTGACTACAGAATAAAAAGTGGGTGCAAATAACAACAACAATTAGAACAAAAAAAAACTCTGATAAAGAAATTATCTGCGTATAAATATCTTCTGGCAGAGAGGATGACGAGCAACGAAATGGGAGGAAACAAAAGACAGATGATAAAAGTAAAGATGAAATGTTGGCATATCTTTCTCTTGTGGAGCTTTTGTCATGGAAAACTCAAACCTTATCCTCTAAAGACAAACTTTTATTCCAAGTGGCAGCAACAATTCATTATTTACTACTAGAATATCATGAATATGGCCTCCCTGAAACCTTTTACGCTAATCTTCCTTAAAATTCACTATAATGTCTTACTTTGTCCATCAAACACTGTTTATTCATTCATTCACCAATATTTTATCCTAGTTATTCCCCTGTCAGCTCAGCAGGAACAGTTTATTCTTTTTTAATATTGTTTCCTGGTATAATATTTCCCATATTTCTCATTTTTTGTACCTCTTTTATCACCCTCTATTGTATAACTACGCTGGCCCCAGGCGAACAGCATGCTGACTGAGATAAAAGCTGACCGAGTTCTCCTTTTTGTGCCATGCCAGTCATCATGAAATGAGCACAGCCGGTCTGGGAAACAGAGCTGACGACTATCCTCTTCAATCGTCTCTAAGCCTTTTCGTGTTACACCTAAAATTAAGGATTGTGGCTACTGGAGTGGAGACAAGACAGTGCCTGTCTGTTGTAGATTAGCCCATTCGCACACACACACACACACACACACACATACACACGCGTGCACTCTCAATTCCTGCACACATAGGTGGCACGTTAACACAAGAAGAAAAAAAAATACTGTAGCAAAGACAGGAAGCTCTGAGTACCTGTCTGCTTTCTGAAGATGAGAGGCAAAAACATCCTGCTTAGCTTGATGACTAAAAAAAAACATTAAATTCTCTGCCTCAGACTCTGAAAAATGAAGAGGCATCAAAGTGGAGACTTGAAGTTGAAAGACGACAGGAAAAAAAGAGAATAATGAGAGTCCTGTTGTGCTGTTGCAGGACTGCACTGAATGTGAAGACCAGCTGCTTGAATGAAGTAGTAAAATTTATTCCTTCTCATGTTCTGAAACTGCTCAACTAAAATAAAACACGCCGATATCCTACTTCACCAGACGGGCTCATCATGAACGTACTCACCTAAACCATCAGGGAGCATCCTATCATTGCTACATTCAGATCATCTTCGCCCTCAGTGACTGCTCACCACAGTCATCATAAACTGTCCACATTATTAGGTAACACATTCCTGCCCTCTATCACTAACCCATAATTGAGCATCTTGGAGGTTAAATTTATTATTTTGTAACCACAGACTGCTAAAAGAAGGCAGCTTTGATACACCTTAAAATGAGATGCTGGAAAGGAGCAGGCGGGAATTTTGTCTTTTGCTATCCAGGCAAAAAGGTAAACCCAAAACTGACCAACAGCATTGTCACTTTTTAAAAAACTGTGTTCAATCCATCATTTGTCCATTTGTTCATTCATTTGGAGAAGGCACATAAATAAAACGAAGCTGATAAAACCACCCAACAACTACAATGTGCTCTAAATTGAGGTCAAGCTATGGCTTGCTGATAACTTCCTCCATCTTAATGACTCCAAAACTGAGTTAATCATTTTCAGTCCTTACAGTACCATGGCTACTCATCAACCTGACCTCAACTATCTCTCACCTAATGTATCCTCTGTAATCTCCAACCTTGGAGTAAAAATGGACCAGGCTCTGAAGATGGATGTCCAGGTCAATAACACAGTTAAATCATGTTTTTACCAACTAAGACGCATCTCGAAACTAAAGCACATCCTGAGTGTCCGTCTTCTGAAATCTGTGGTCCACACTTTCATCACCTCAAGGCTGGATTACTCTAGCTCCTGCTTATATGGCATCAGTAAAGCAGCTCTTTCTAGACTTCAGCTGGTCCAGAATTCAGCAGCTAGGTTGCTGACTGGAGCTGACAGAAGACAACACATTTCTCCAATTCTGAAATCTCTCCACTGGTTGCCCGTGCAGTTCAGGATACATTTCAAAATTTTGCTTCTGACTTACAAATCCTTGAACCATCAAGCTCCTCCATATCTGTGTGAACTTGTCCATTACTACAACCCGCCGCGTGCTCTCAGGTCTGAAGATAAGCTCCTCCTAGCTGTTCCGAATGCACGTTTAAAAAGCCGTGGAGAAAGGGCTTTCTCTGTCTGTGAACCAAGCTGTGGAACGCATTACCACTGCTAGTGAGGCAAGCACCAACAGCTAGCATTTTTAAATCACGCCTGAAAACTCACTACTTCAACCTAGCTTATATAACATAATTATGAACCTCACTTACAACTACATTGTTTAAAAATGGAATTCACAATATCAACTTCCGTATTATTGAGGTTCTTTTTTTAAAATGTTTTTCTTATTTTTTATTCTCCCTGTGTTTTATTGATTTTTAACTGTTAGTTTTAGGAATTTTGTTGTTTTTCCTTTTTATCTTTTATCTCTGTTCTACATGACTGTATGACGTCGGTTTAATTAACTAACATGTTTAGTGTACAGCGCCTTGTTTGGTTGTAATGCCTTGTTGAATGCGCTTTATAAATAAAATTGGAATTGGAATTGGAATAAATTAAGTCCTAAGTGACACAAACCCAGAAGGGTATGATAAAAGGGGTGTGTGGTGGGAATGGGTAAAATGTTAAGTGTTAAGAGTGGGAATTGAAATAACTTGCTATGTATTTGATTTATTTATTTATTTATTGTGCATGATTTTCTGATAGAAATGCATAATGTAACAAAAAATGGGGAACAAATGACAGGACAGATTTTAAGCTTTACCATGGCCAGGACGTGTCTCCTGATTTAAAACAAATGTTTGGAGAAAAACAAAGTAAAACCATAAAACAAAGCTAATTAAAAAATTGCTAAAATATTTTGCTGGCTTTCAGTGGTTTTCACAGTAAAACTTTTTCTGCAACCATCCTTTGAAGTAGAACATATTTCAGAATTCAAACATGAAAACTACGTGAGATCCTGTGTAAAAAGACAAACGGGCAGTTAGTTACACAATAGAAAGTGAGTACACTTATGCAGAGCCGTCATGTTATGTGATTTGATGCAAAATAGACTTACAGTCCCTAACAAAAGTTTAAGACCACTTGAAAAATGGGATGAAATTCAATTTTGCATGAATGGATCTTAATGTTCCAAGTAGAGCTCAACATGCATCAAGAAGGAACGGGAAAGAGACAAACACTTAAACTGAAAGACACTGTTTCACAGCAGCTCAAAAGTTGAAGACCACATGCCTTTAAAGAGACACTTTGCAACATTTTTTTTTATCCATTTCTTGAGCCAGAATGTGCTAAAATGGCCTTTTACAAAGTTAAGTAAAGGCAACCCAGCCTCTATCACCCTCTGGGGGGGGGGCGGGGGGGGGGGGGGGGGTTGTCTTGGTGCCTATCTCCAGCAGTCAACGGGCAATCAGGCAGGGTACACCCTGGACAGAGAGCCAGTCCATCACAGGGCAACACAGAGGCACACAGGACAAACAATCATGCACACACACTCACACCTAGGGACAATTTAGACAGACAAATCAACCTAGCAGTCATGTTTTTGGACTGTGGGAGGAAGCCGGAGTACCCGGAGAGAACTCACACATGCACAGGGAGAACATGCAAACTCCATGCAGAAAGACATGCGAACCCAGGACCTTCTTGCTGCAAGGTAACAGCTCTAACCACTGGGCCACTGTGGCCAGAATATTCCACTTGCAACTTCAGACTGACGGGTCGCTCTGTTGAGCTGAAATAACTGGTGCTGTAGACCTGTTCCAGCACGTTTCCTGCATGTTATTGGATCATGATCATAGCTGATTTGTTTAATGTAGTCATTAATCAGTCCTGTAGATTCTAAGAAAGGCTGGGAAGACATTTCAGTAGTTGGTTCAAGGTGTTAAAAAGACGGATGCACAGCGAGGAAATAAGTTTTGCTTTTGGTTTTACAAACACACACTAGGGGGCGCTAAGAGCAAGCCAAAACTGCCTAGTTCCCTTTTAAAGGCCAAATGACAAGCAAACCCCACCAGTTTTCTATGTGCCACAGTGGAAGGGTACCACAATGATCTGGGATGCTTTTTCCTTCAGTAGAACAATGAAGGTTCAGGAGGTGCAGGGGTGTCAAGCTGCCGCTGGCTGTGGTTGAAGCACTTATTCAGCAGTTCTGCATAAGCCTATCACCTTCTGATTACAATCAGGTGTGTTAGAGCAGGGAATCAACTAAAACATGACGGATAGTGATCTTGATTATTCAGGCACTACTGCCTTGGAACCTTGTCAAGATCCAAACGCGCAAAATCTGATTTTTACAAGTGGTCTTAAACTTTGATTGGGACTGTATCACACATGAGAATCTAACTTTTCTCACACGGACTTCTTAACTGCCATCAATCCTGTTAATCTGTTTGTCTGTCTCTGACCAAATCCGTGAGTTACAGCTTGTAGTAAACATGTCTCTGCAGCCTTTCCTTGAAATTTTTATTTAATATCTAACAAACCAAAGCCTCTTTAATCTAAGTGGAATAAAGCACTCTGCGCATCATCCACTCACATGTTGGTGCTCTACAGCTGATGGGCAGTAAGAATGAAAAAATGCTCCAGCCGGCTATAAGCTAAATCTGCGCTTTTTAACATGTTGTTAAAAACAAATGTTTTTTTTTGTTTGTTTTGCAAAAGGTATTATCTCATATTTTGTTGCCAGTTATGGATCAGCACCAGAAGATTTTAGATCACATTTGAAGACGAGTCATACACAATAAGTTGAAAAGTAGATACATACATTATCATATGGTGTTGTCACTCTTGGGTATTTTACGGTAAGGAGCACTTACTACACCAGTTATGGAAATATGTCAATGGCTCATTAAAGGAAGTAAAATGCAACAATTGACTCATTATTCACTTCGAGCATATACTATAACATAGAGTTGTTGGTCATTTTAAAAGTAGCCTGAGATATTGTTAAAGACAACAGTTTGATTCTAATTCAATGTTAGCATTGTTAGCTCAAAGATAGCCTCTAGCCTGGTTCACCTGATATTTGAATAAAGTAAAAAGATGCCGTCGCTTCTAAAGCCATGCGATTTGTGGATCATTTTGAGACAATTTCCCTCTTGTGCGAGAACATATGAGGTCGGGAGAAGTTTTACGTCATTCATCGTGAAGAATACGGGGGTTGTGAGAGGCAATTAACACCTCACAACCAGCTCCCAATGAGCAATTATGGGGTCACACTAATATTAAACACATCTGATCATTTGTTCGTCCTTTGTGAAGTGATCGCACCATTTAAGTAGTGCTCTGGCCCAAATGTACCAGAAACACACAGCATATGCATCAACGCAGCTGTCAAGCTATTTTCATATCAACACACATTATTTTAATCTTTTTTTTTACTTTACTTTATAACAAGGATTGTCAAGAAAATGTGTTTGCTGTGTTTATGTCAAATAAAACGGATCCCAAAACACTGTTGCACTTTCTTTCTTTCATCTTTCTTTTCCAACCCCCATAAACCACTGCATGTCCTTCTACGGCAAGCCTGAAGGACAACAGACATCAATAACAAAGTTTGTATTTGTTAATTTTTTTCAAATAAAGGTTGAGGGAAAAAGACATGAATAACAACACAACAGTGTCAGAGTGTTTTGGGTTTTCAGACTCAGAAGTCCGAGGTGTTGTGTAAAAATTACTATTTTTAGCATATTTTAGGTCTGACATGTTGCTACCACACAAACAGTGTGAGCAGTCAGGTTGCAAGGAAGTTTGAGGTAGAGCTAAATGCAGCAAGGGAAAAAGTCGCATAGTGACACCTGGTTTCAGGGTTACAATAAATACCTTCTGGGTCGCTCCTCTTCACTGGCTTTAGTTCTCATCTCTGCAGCTTTTTGCCTGCCCATGTTGAATCACAAATGCCAGCGCTAAAGCTTTACCTCGGTGAAGATTTGGCAACCTCATGTGCTCACTGATTGCATTACTACATCCCTCTCTTTTATTGTTTTTCAAGTGCTTTAAAAAACCCACCTGGCTGAGAATGAAGTCTGTTTCAATGTAATCTTCCTTCCAACTTGATTGAGGCATTAGAAAAAAATTGATTATTTCACTGTAGAATTCTTATTTATTGCTCCTTTAACTGTTTTTATTATGCTAAATTTGTGTTTTTGTTTGTTTGTTTAAATCAGGGAGTTTTCAGAGCCATTTGTGCTTACCTGTGGTGGCTTCAATCAAGTTTGCTTCACTTCTATTCTTTTTGATGACTGCAAGCGCCTGAACAATGTAGGTAACCCCCCGGGGTCAGACCTATGATCAGGTAAGAATTCTCTGTGTTGGGAACCTGAACCTGGGACACACAAAGGGGTTGAGATTAGATATTTAAGTTGCATATAAATATTTTATTCTAAAGAATCAATTTAATAAGAATCAAAAATAAAAGCATACCTGCCCCATGTCACCCTCAGCAAATTTGGGATGGTATGTTAACACATAATACTCTGCCCTGCGGACTGATTCCCACCCAACCAGACGAGAGACGTCAGTCACTTGGACCAACCGTTGACTCTGAGGTCCAAAAACTAAAGAAGTGAAGACATATAGAGATTAAAATACTAGAATACCCTAATTTTATCTTGTTTCTTTTGAATGTTTTCTAGATTTAGCTGTCTTTTTTTGTGCTGATCTTTCTGTTTTTCACCTGAAGGGACAATTAAACACCATTTATATTTATATATAAAGGCCCTTAAAAGCCAATTTGACCATTTGCTTTGTGACAGACATAAAAGAGGAGGTCTTGAACAAGAAGAAATACATTATTTAGAAATTTGAGGTTTCTTATTGAGCTGGAAAGAAACACTGCTTTTTTTTGTGGTCACACAGCACAAGGCCACCGTGTTTCAGTAGACATGATGGAAAGACTATAATAAAGGTAAGGACAAAATTAGGCAGTACAATAACAACGTGCTGTGGGAGAGTGGGACTTTCTACAAACAAGGATTTTCTGTGAGTAAAATGCAGACACAAACAGCAACCAGCTGTAAATTTTATGAAATATAACAAGGAGCAAAGGCATGCATCATGGGGAAATGTGTATAATGAGTCGTGTAATGTCCAGAAAAGGTCAGTTTTCATGCACAGTTTGACCCCTTCAGTATCTGGTCTACATGGAGACAGGAGTCTACATGTGTTGCCTTTAATCTGCCGGATCCTGCATTCCATCAGCTGGAGCCCGGGCCTCTCTGCAGCTCGGAACACATGATAACAAAGTGTCAACAAATGTTTCTCTTCTCAAGGCCCTTCTGTGCCAAGCCTGCCTGGTTATCTAGGCCGGACTGGACTGTTATACGAGTGGCTGTTTTCAGCTTATATGAGTTAATCATTCGTTAAATAATAATAACAATAATAATAATGTCTTCATTACTCTGTGCTTAAATCAATAAGGTTGATTGATCTGTGATTGAATTACTGAAATGAAATTAATTATTACATTGAATGATTTATATATATGGTAATCAGTAATGTTTGATATGACAAGGCAGGCTTCACCTGCACTCAGACACAAGGGCAAATTAAAGTTAAGTTAAACTCATGACACATAGATATTGCCTTACCCCAAATCAGAGCATCCGGTATCTCAAGAAGGCGGCGTGATGTTCTGAGGTTTCCTTGGTAATGTCCCTTAACATGGCACGTTCCGATTGGACAATAATTCATAACACGAGAATATTTAAACAGAATCACTCAGGTGATTCAGCAGTCGCATTCCAGCTTTCCATCATTCAGCATTCAGTTCTAGAGAACGCTACGAAGCGGCCGTCGGGAGCGAACTGTTTAAACCTGAGCAGTTTTGGCAAGCTGCCAAAACCGTGCTAAAAGCTGCCCATCACTGACACAGCAAACGGTTTCCTGCAGAACAAAGCTGACATTGTTCCGACTCTCTGAGAGTCCTTCTAGACGCAAGCAGTTCCATCCATCTGTTGTGTCCCAGAAAACATCTCTGGACTGGAGAGTCGGTGCTACGGTATTCTACAAACCTCAGTATCAAAGGTCATCTGACCTCTCTGACCTTCGATCCACAAAGAGGGTCTTCCAAAGGGTGAGGTAGACACACGGATAGCATCTGATGCCTTTTTTATAAGGATCAACTTCATAGCTTAATGCAAACCAAATTCTTTCCTTTTACACCCAGAACTCAGTTGATCTAGATACGAAAGTTCTGATAACCTCACATTAACATATTAGTCACCATTTATCACATTCCATCCACCTAGATCCATCCATCACAGTAATATTAGTGAACTTGTCATGTTTTTAATTGTTTGGAAAATAAATTATTACTTTTTACAAACTTGACTCTCTTCTTGAATCAACACGAAGTGTTCTACAATCCCTGAATAAACAAAGAATCCTAGAATCTTCTGATTAAACATCCAAAGACCTAGCAGGTTGATTTTCTATATTTATATAGAGTATCACAGCTTATTGGTCATAAGTAAAGGTAATATATTAAGCTTTTAAAGCACTACATTTACCACTCTACAGTAGCTAAGGAGTATACAATAACTTTGGCAGGAAAACATGTACATCAGGTTCCTGTGGTCCACCAGTCTGATGTTTTTCATGAAATGTCCCTCCACACAGGAGCATTTAAATCCCCCGTTGCTTGCAAAACAAATCAGCAAACTTTTGTTTTACAGTACAGGCCAAAAGTTTGGACACACCTTCTCATTCCATCTGTTTTCCTTATTTTCATGACCATGACCACTTACAAATGGACCAACAAGTGCTAAACACCTCTGGGAACTCCTTCAAGACTGTTGGAAAACCATTTCAGGTGACTACCTCCTGAAGCTCATCAAGACAATGCCAAGAGTATACAAAGAAGTAATCAGAGCAAAGGGTGGCTATTTTAAAGAAAATAGAATATAAAACATGTTTTCAGTTATTTCACCTTTTTTGGTCAAGTACATAACTCCACATGTGTTCATTCATAGTTTTGTTGCCTTTAGGGAGAATGTAAATGGTCATGAAAATAAAGACAACACATTGAATGAGGTGTGTCCAAACTTTCGGTCTGTACTGTAAATAACATGGGAAACCAGGTAGAAGAAATAAATGAACAATTTAAGTTCAAAACGTGGACTGGTGTGAATCTAAGCTAAGAATGACTTGAATTGAAAGGAAAGAGCATCATCAAAGGTGTTGGACACTTGTTTAATCAATACATTTGTAGTGGTTTCTAGTGCCAAGAAGCTAAAAAAAAATTTTTTAAAAGCCCAGAAAAATCTGGATCAGCATGGACAAGCCTGCTGCAACAGAAAGTGGTAGCAGACAGCAAGATTTGAAATCTTACTTTCTGATATTTGGACATCTTTCCTCTGATTGGATAACAGCGACTCAACCACTAACTTTGTTTGCTCTGCGACATGGATGTTTTATCGCCATAAATAACACAAGCCTGGAGGAGCTTCTGTTGTGTAGTTGAGTTGCTAATACTAACACTTAGCTTCTGCTAGCCAAGATGTTCAATGCTTTTTCCTGGATGCTAACCAACAACAATGTTCCCTGTTGCCAGCCAAGATATTCGACCGCTTGACGGAGAGCCGTCAGCGTTTTCTAATCTTAACGTTTCATCATCTATTTTCTACCAGAGGCTAATACAGCTGGGACGAAACCTATATTTTCAGTCTGTGTGAAAAACTCTGAGTGAACAATTATAAAAAATAGTTTTTCAGTGTTCCACACCTTTAATAACTGATATTAAAAACTTAAGAGACATTTTACATTAAACTGGTCTAAGAGCTGCTAGCATCACTAAACGTAGATTGACATCCATTGAAATTAATTAACAGCCTCATAAAATAATGTTCTTTGTGCTCCTCTTTCCACATCTCTATTACATTTGCTAACACTTTAAAACAACATGGAGTACTTTTGCGTCCTATGTTTCTTTTCTAGCCTGACTTTGTATTGATGTTCGATCTGGTTCACCTACATGAAGCTGCAGGTCTGTCTGCAGAGCAAAACAAAGTGAAAGAGCAAATATTTGACCTTGACGACCTGCTACTGCCTCAACCATTTATCTTCTTATTTGCCGTTTCAGAAACTCTGGCTCAAAAACAGAAATAATAGACCTTTGTTTACATAAAACGTAAATGCAAATCAATCAATCATAGATTAAATTATTACATTCAGAGATGAGTAAAATTGCACAATAGTCTAAGACAAAAGTAGGAATCTGTGGAGTTATTTTAAGCAGAAGTAACTCTTCTAGCCTGTCTGTGTAGGTCTATGTTTACGGCAAATGTTCGTGTCACGGCTTCAGAATGCAATTTTGTTATTCAGTCCTGAGGCAGTTCACCTTAAGTAGGTGGGTGAACAGATTATTTAGCAGGAAAGGTGATGATTTTTCCTGCAGGTTAAAAAAGCAGAACTGAGCTCCAAAGATTGATAGAAGTTGTTATTGTCATGTGGTATTTTGTGACCTGATGTCACGACTTGTTTAGTTGTCAAAGATGTCATGGTCACGGGTCAGCTCGCTGAAAAATCGTCTTCAGCTGCTTGATCTGAAATAACTTTAGAGGAATGCTTTGAATTCCACAGAAGTAACTCAAATGATCACTTCAGCTTAATTCAGGCGGATGCATAAGTTTGGTTTTAGAAATAAGTCACAGGAAAACAAAATAAACCTTTAAGCCTATTTACAGCTATAAACACATGCAGGAAAACAACAAGAGGGCATGCTTCAACCTCTTGAGTTTTGATGCACCTGAGCAGTTTGAAGAGGCTAGCTAATGTAGCAAGCTAACGAACGCAGCAAAATAAATGTCTGATGATTGCAATGACACCATAGACAGGATCAGGAGCTGTGCGTATGAAAAAGCAGATACGAAAACATAAGAAAGAAAAGAAGACTTTAGAGCATCATGCTTATTACGTAGATGCCTTCATCCTTTTTGTTCTGTTAGAATGTTGACTGCAAAACAGTAGAACAATGACACATCATAATGTGGCTTTGAAACAATAAATCAAACATATTTATTGTCAATTATTGCTTGTATTTTAAATATATATCTTATCGTTATGTTGTTTGTTTGCACTTTACTAAAGTTATTCTCTTTGTTAGCATGTGTTTTTGCAATTCAGAAGGGCAGAAGAGTTTGGTTTTCATGTGACAGATTCTGTCATGTGCCGGGGTGAGTACTCCTCTCATTTTCCCCATTTTTGAGCTGTTGTGTTTCAGGAGAGGGAGGCTCCAGCTGCAGCACATTGGCAGTCAGCGGGTCCAGCTATTTAAGGAGGAGGAGAACACATCACTTCGCCAGATGATTAACTACAACTCGGTAGTTTCCAGCCCTTTGTGACTCTTGGATATACCTCTAGTGATTCTAAGTATTTTGAGACAGTTTTTGGAATTTTTACCTGACTTACCTGCCTCCCAGGTCTTTGTATTGTTTTTGGATTCCCTCTGAGACTCTTCTGGATAACCTTTGGACTTCTGTGACTCCTTTGGATAAAACTTCTGGTTTCCCGTGACTCCACTGGAGAGCATCTTGGATTTCCGAGCCTTCCCTGGATTACTCACCTGTGCCCGTAAGACCTCCGGACGCAGCTCCCACCGTTCTCCAACCCTCCCGGTCAGCCCGCTCTCCTGCTCTCCTCTCGCTCCCTCTCCTGGACACTCCCCTCGTGGATTCACCCCGGCACCCAACCTACCCTCCCTTGCTCCTATCCTACCAGCTCCCAACGCTGCGCTCCCGTTTTCTACCTCCACTGGTCTTTTCCAGTGCGCCCTGAGTTCCCGTTTTATTAATAAAACATTATTCTACCCTGAGATCTGTGTGAGAGTGTGATTCTGCATGCCTTGGGTTAAACTCGTTCCCCAGACCATGTCAGATTCAACCACATCACTCACTTTGGTTGAATGTGTTTTATGCTTGTGACAGTGTCTTCTGTATCAACCTACTCAAATGTTTGTTTTTCACAATATCTAAATAAAACTGCACAGTTGTATATACTGAAGTGAGTATTTCAAATGTAGCTGTCATTAAAGGCACACTTGACAGTTTTGCTTGCCTTTAGCACCCCCTAGTGTTATTCATTCTCTGTGGTCAAACCAAAAAATTAAATGTATCTCCTCGCTTCTTTTTAACACCATAATCTAACAGCGGAAATCTCTCCCCGGCCTTCATTAGTGTCTCCAGGAGTGATCTATCACTAAATTAAACAAATCAGCTGTGTTCATGATCTAAAACATGGAGGAAATTTGCTAGAACCATACTGCAGCACCAGGTTTGCCAGCTCTATTTTTTTCTAAGTCCAACAGGTGGCGGCCCGACAGTCCGAAGTTGCAAATGTGATATTCTGGCCACAGAGGGCGGTGGGGGTCTGAGTGATATTTCATTAACCCTGTAAGGCCGGGGTATTCAAGTCCTGGAGGGCCAGTATCCAGCACATTTTAGTGGTCCCTCTGTTGAAACACACCTGATTCAGTGGTTGAATCACCTGTGCAGCAACGCATCGGGCTCTGCAGAAGCCTGTTAATTACCTGTGTGTTGAAACAGGGTTAAAACTAACACCTGCTGGATACTGGCCCTCCAGGCCCAGAATTTAATACTTCTGCTGTAGAGGGTCATTTTAGCACACAGGCCTACTGGCTCAAGAAAATTACTTTAAAAATTTAAAAAGTTGCATAGTATGGCTTTAATGCAGAGATAATAGTACTTATTTTCTCATATTACCAACTGGTAACAGGTTACTTATTACCAATGGTGTTCGAGGGTGAGCCTTATTTTTAATTTTGAAACATTTTATGTTTTCTTTATGTTTAACACATCTTAAGTGAAACCGAAAATATTTACAGCTTAAATATTTTGGTTTTATGACAAAAAGTAATTTTCTTATTTATGGAAACATAATAATTATAGATCATTTCCAACAAATTGAAACTTAATTGGCACTTTTCCTTTATGGTTTAATCTCTGTCCTGTCTTCTTTCATCTCATCAATATTCATTTTGCGTTTTTCATTAGTCATTACACTTGCCATATATTGTAAACAGATGACTCCCTAAGTTTTTGCAATATATGTCTCTTCTTGGATTTATACCTTTTAGCTGCAGGAAAGGCTCCATTGAGGGTATGCAAATGTACTTTGTTTGTTTAAAATACTCATAAATCAGGCAAATGAGGGTCTGAAGTGGTGTAATAAATACATGAATTGTGAGAGCGCAGTCCCTATTCTCAACATTCCCACTTTACAGTGTTGTTGCAGTGAAGGGACACAAAGCGCTATAAGTCCCTTGTTAGAAGACATGCAATACAGATCGGCTGAAAATATATTGCATTTCTTTTTCGATTCTGTTCTTTCACATGTTTTGAAAGAATTTAGCAGTTTGTTTTTAAATTTGCGTTTCTTACTGTCTAAATCTTTTTAAACGTGGTGACGTAACTTCTGTAAGGCATACATCCAGCCAATCATCTAGTTTGATATCACCGACAGGCACAGGACCAGAAGGAAACATGGCATCTAATATGGCATCCCCAAAGACGCTAGACCCTATGTACTTTAGACTCATTTTGATACAAAGCCGCCAATATTCTCACCATCTGAACACAATTTCCAGAAATTATCGGTAGAAAAAACACATTGCCTCTTCTTTCAAAGCTTTGTCGATATACTTCTTCCTCATATGGGATGATTCTAAAGTTTGGATGTTGTTTATTAAAGGGTCGTGAATCCACAGCAGTCGTCACTGTCAGACACTCATGAAGAACAGATCTCAGACCTCTGTCAGAAGTAGCTGCCTGTGGTGCATCTGATGCCAGGGGAGACATGCCCACAGAGCACCGATTCTGAGACGCCTGGCATGTATTGATTCTGCTTTGATGCATCGACAGATGAAAATACTTTTGACAGACTATGTAGCATTTATGTCTCAAAGTTCCATTATTTCTGTTTTCAAATAAAAAGAATGGAGTAGCAGGATTATATCAGACAATTTATCCTGAGCTCCTGCTGTTTCTTTCATAGGAGGCTGTTATGGTTTTCTCTTTTGTTTCTTTTGTTTTTGGTTTTCTGTTTTGTTTGGTCTCTCCATCTATTTTTCTGTCCTCCATCTTTTTTAAAAAGTGCAGATGACATTCCTAGCAGTTATCTGACATGACTCTCTCTTCTTCTTTTGATCTAATGGCATCTCTTTCCCTGAATGTCTTAAAATTTCCCACCATGTTATTGTTTCTAATCCAATCCAACTTTTTGCATAAGGTGTTCCAAAAGTCGAAGGTAAGTCAAACAGCCTAAAACTAAATCAAACATTATCTCTTAGAAGTGTGTGGATATGGGTGACTTACCCCTTCTTTCCACCGGAGCCGTCAGCAGCACGTTACTGCAGCAGCACATCTTGCTCGCGTAAGCTGCTTCTTGGCCCTTCCCACGAGACGCGAAGCAGCAGGGGAGCAGCTGTCACCGACCGAGCACGAAGTCACACGAGTGACCGTCAGTAAACACAACAACCAGCAGGAGAAAACTACAACATGGCTCCAAAAGGTTTGTGTTTTATGTTCTGTCCATTTTATAATCGCCAATACGGACCTGAAAAACAAAGGAGACCGCTAGCTAGATGATAACTTCTTACGGGGCCGCACAGTTAGTAACCTTTTTTTTAAGTAAAGTAACCGGAAGGCAGTATGTTCCTTTATTCTGAAAATCTCAGGAGCTTCGCTCCATTTCCACGTCCAATTTCCAGTCTTTCCTTCCCCAAAATTGTCGAAATTGACCTGTTTCAGAGGCGTTGCACGTAGAAAATAGAACCGGCGCGTAAAGGCCGCGACATGCTGCTCCTGAGACGCGGCCGACTCGCGCTACTGATGGCTCTGGTGGAAAAGGTTCTGTTGACCACAGGGGTTCCTATCAGCAGCTATGACATGCTGCTGCAGTAACGTGCTGCTGACGGCTCCGGTGGAAAGAAGGGGTTATGCTGAAAAGTGCCTTAGGGGGTTGAAGAAAGCTAGAGATAATAAAGATAATTAGACATGAGTAAAAGTATAAAACTAGCAAAATTGCTAGTGAACAGAAATATTGCTAAGAACAGAAATATTAGAAAGAGAAATATTAGTGTTGTCAGCATAACAAAGAAAAGAGATGTTGTCCTCCCTGATTATTGAACCTAGAGGAAGCTCATAAGGAGAGAATAGAAGAGGTCCCAAAACAAAACCCTGTTGTACCTCAAATAGGAAATCAGCAGGGGACCACACAAGACTGCTGAATCTATTAGGAAAAATGTTCTAGAGTTGTGCCTGTAATACCTATCCCCTGCTCCAAATGTGAGAGGAAATTGTAATGGTCTTTAAAAGCTGCTGCAAGATCCAGTAGTACAAAAACAACACAATAATCACCACGCCTGGCTAAAATGCTTCATCCAAATGTAAAAGTGCTGATTCTGTTTTGTTTGAGTCAAACAAGATTGTGCAATGTCTAAAATATTATGTTTATAGTATGTTTGTAACATTAAGGCCATTTTTAAAATTCACTCAGGCTTCTGGTTATATTCCTGTGATCCTGCTTGTCACTCTGACTGTTGTCAATGCTTCCAATACATCAGTTTCCTGCCTGTTTGCTCATTTCAGTCAGTCTGCCAAAACAACATTAGATCACAGTTTATTCCTCTCAATGATCCAATTTAAATGTTGCTAATAAATCACTTTAAACATTTATTGCTCTCTTTTGTCTGGTATTGAATCCAAATCTTGACATCATTGAGATATTCTTTGGTTGAAAATATGTACATCTTTTTTTTCAGTTGGGAATTGAGTGGAGAGGTTGGTTTCAGAGCAAGCCAAGAATGTTAGTTTTGAAAGTCAGAGAAATTATTTTGAGGGAACCAAACCCTCTGTCACTTTCTTGCAATTAAATTTGAGACAAATGCTAAAATCTCCAGCCTTACCTAAAGAACAGTCTTCCCCATAAAAGCCTTCCTTGCAGATGCACTGGCCATTCACGCACTGCCCGTTGCTGCTGCAGTCCACACACCGTCCCTTATCTTTACAGTTGCCTGGACATGCTAGCAGGTTGCAGTCTTCCCCTGTATAGCCTTCATGGCACACACATTTCCCATCCACACACCGTCCCTTATCGTTACAGTTGCCTGGACATGCTAGCAGGCTGCAGTCTTCCCCTGTATAGCCTTCATGGCACACACATTTCCCATCCACACACCGTCCCTTATCGTTACAGTTGCCTGGACATGCTAGCAGGCTGCAGTCTTCCCCTGTATAGCCTTCATGGCACACACATTTCTCATCCACACACCGTCCCTTATCGTTACAGTTGCCTGGACATGTTAGCAGGCTACAGTCTTCTCCTGTATAGCCCTCATGGCACACACATTTCCCATCCACACACCGTCCCTTATCGTTACAGTTGCCTGGACATGCTAGCAGGCTGCAGTCTTCTCCTGTATAGCCTTCATGGCACACACATTTACCATCCACACACCGTCCCTTATCGTTACAGTTGCCTGGACATGCTAGCAGGCTGCAGTCTTCTCCTGTATAGCCTTCATGGCACACACATTTACCATCCACACACCGTCCCTTATCGTTACAGTTGCCTGGACATGCTAGCAGGCTACAGTCTTCTCCTGTATAGCCCTCATGGCACACACATTTACCATCCACACACCGTCCCTTATCGTTGCAGTTGCCTGGACATGCTAGCAGGCTGCAGTCTTCCCCTGTATAGCCTTCATGGCACACACATTTACCATCCACACACCGTCCCTTATCGTTACAGTTGCCTGGACATGCTAGCAGGCTGCAGTCTTCCCCTGTATAGCCCTCATGGCACACACATTTACCATCCACACACCGTCCCTTATCGTTACAGTTGCCTGGACATGCTAGCAGGCTGCAGTCTTCCCCTGTATAGCCTTCATGGCACACACATTTACCATCCACACACCGTCCCTTATCGTTACAGTTGCCTGGACATGCTAGCAGGCTGCAATCTTCCCCTGTATAGCCCTCATGGCACACACATTTACCATCCACACACCGTCCCTTATCGTTACAGTTGCCTGGACATGCTAGCAGGCTGCAGTCTTCTCCTGTATAGCCCTCATGGCACACACATTTACCATCCACACACTGTCCCTTATTGTTACAGTTGCCTGGACATGTTAGCAGGCTACAGTCTTCTCCTGTATAGCCTTCATGGCACACACATTTACCATCCACACACCGTCCCTTGTCGTTACAGTTGCCTGGACATGCTAGCAGGCTGCAGTCTTCTCCTGTATAGCCCTCATGGCACACACATTTACCATCCACACACCGTCCCTTATCATCGCAGTTGCCTGGACATGCTAGCAGGCTGCAGTCTTCTCCTGTATAGCCCTCATGGCACACACATTTCCCATCCACACACTGTCCCTTATCGTTACAGTTGTTTGGACATGCTAGCAGGCTGCAGTCTTCCCCTGTATAGCCCTCATGGCACACACATTTCCAATCCACACACTGTCCCTTATCGTTACAGTTGTCTGGACATGCTAGCAGGCTGCAGTCTTCCCCTGTATAGCCCTCATGGCACACACATTTCCCATCCACGCATCGGCCGTTGTCGTTGCACTCATCGGGACAGGAGGACAAAGAGCAATCTGGCCCTTCCCAGCCTGGGTAACAGAGACAGCTGCAAGTAGCCTGTTGGTAGGTACCATGGCCGGTGCAGCTAGTGTCCACACCTTTGAAGAATACAAGAAAAGTGCACTTTTTATAGCTTTTCTTGTATTGATTACAAATCTACACATCATATATCAGAAAATAAAATTTAACATGCTATCTAAAATTGTAGCCTGTTTGCTAAGTTTCTGTCTTAGCTTATCTCTGTTGTTTGTGGCTTACCTACGGCACCACCTGCTCCACAGCATCCCTGTGTGCACTGCGTTATCAGATAGTTGACCTCCTCTTCCAGTCCATTGACTCTGTGCAGCAGCTTCTTAAAGCTATCTGACTCCTCACATGCACACTTGGGTGTCTGTAGCATTATATTGTGTTTGAAGACAATGTCATTTTCTCCATTTATGGTAGTGTCTTTCTGCAGACCTACAATAGAAATATGGAAATCATATTAAGATACTTAATCTTGATGTCTTAAACGTCATATTTGCACAGAAAATATGTGATGTATCAATCCTTCTTTGTCTGGAATTGCTTCCAAACGACTCTTTATTTTTTAATATCTTTTCCTGGAAGACCTGTCTCATCCTGCGTTGTACAGCTGGAGCTTCCTGGGGTGTCAATTTTATAGACATGGCTGAAGGTGATCCCATGTTGAGAGTTTGGGTGGTCAGGCTGGCTGTCCGTGGAGCTTACACAACGTGATGCAGCACAGAGAAGGGTCACCAGGGACAGGGCCCTCCACAGAGGACATGTGGTCGTTGCTGCAAATGAAAATGAGAATACATGTTAAATCCTCCCATCTTTGTTTTTCAACAGGCAGCCAGGTTACACAGGATGTAAATGCTTAGTGGCTGGTCTTCTAGTAAAAGTGTCAAGTATAATGATTGATGTGGTTAACGCCACAGCCCTAAAATCATTTCTTCAACCTGCCTTGATTTTTTTTCTAAATATGGATGCTGACTGTGTAGGCAGGCATGTAGATCCTCTGAGAGAAAGTGGAAAAAGGATGGCCTACAGGTCTCATGTGAGTTGTTCAGAGCATCTCTGGTTGCTTATCAGGATGCTGTGAGGGCTGCCAGAATGGCCTATTTTGCAGACATCATTGAAACAAACTCCAATAATCCTAAGATTCTCTACAAAACACTAAACTCTGTTCTGGTGTATCAGGAACCTAGCTTCATGTCTCCTACAGCTGCTGGAAACTCTGAAGCTTTTCACAGATTCTTTGTTGATAAAGTGTCAGGCATTAGAGCAGCTATTTCTGGTAACTCTGTTGACCCGGTTCCAGTTCCTCCATCACCACCCACCCTGAGCTCCCTCAATACTGTTTCATATTCTGAGCTGAGTAAGCTTGTTGCGAGGCAGAAGCCATCTGGCTCTCCACTTGACGTTCTGCCGCCTCGCCTCTGGAAGGCTGCCTTTCTGTGCCTTGGCCCTTCACTTGGTCAGATTATCAATGGGAGCCTCAGCACAGGTGTGGCCCCAGCTGCTTTGAAAGCAGCAGTTATTCGGCTGACCCTGAAGAAACCTCGTGCTGATGTCTCTGTGATCGAAAATTACAGGCCTATCTCTACCCTGCCTTTTACATCAAAACTGCTTGAGAAAGTCGTTTATCAGCAGCTGGTCTCACATTTAGCTGACTCTGATCTGTTTGAGGTTTTCCAATCAGGGTTCAGGTCTGGCCATAGCACAGAGTCGGCTCTACTGAGGGTCCTAAATGACATCTATCACTAGATCAGGGTACATCTGTGGTGCTTCTGTTGTTAGACCTGACAGCAGCCTTCGACACAGTTGACCACGCGATTCTACTGGATCGCTTGGAACGATGGGTTGGGATCAAAGGGTCAGCTCTGGATTGGTATAGATCGTATCTCCACAACAGGACATTCTGTGTTAAACTGGGTGATGTTTTTTCTTCTTGGGAGGGGCTCCGCTGGGGGGTCCCGCAGGGGTCGATCCTTGGTCCTCTTTTGTTTGCCATTTATCTGCTACCTCTGGGTTCAATCTTTCATAAACATGGCCTATCATTCCATCTCTATGCTGACGATTGCCAGATTTACTCTCCATTGTGTCAGGAGAAAGGTCACTCTATCCAGTCCTTTGTGTCTTGTCTTAACGAGGTGAAGTCTTGGCTAATGGCCAACGTTCTGTATCTGAATGAGGGAAAGACAGAGCTCATTGTTTTTCACCCCAACAGCAGGAATGTGGATCGTTATGTTGATCTTGGGCCTCTTTCTCCATACTCAAAACCAGTTGTGACCAGTTTGGGGGAGAAAATTGATGCTGGAATTAAATTTGATGCTCACATCAACTCTGTGATCCGGTCCAGTTTCTTTCACCTGAGACGCCTTGCAAAAATCAAGCCCATGCTGTCAAGAGCCCACCTGGAGCGGGTACTCCATGCTTTTGTAATTTCTAGGCTTGATTACTGCAGCTCTCTATATGCAGGGCTGTGTCAGTCCTCACTGCGTCGCCTACAGGTTGTGCAGAACAGCACAGCCAGGTTCCTTACTGGGACCAGGAAACGGGACCACATCAGTCCGGTTCTGGCCTTCCTGCACTGGCTTCCGGTTTGCTATCATTCACACTTCAGACTCCTCATCTTTGTTTTTAATTTCTTCCAGGGTGGTGCTCCCCCCTATCTAGCCACGCTCCTGAACAGACATTCCCCATCACGCGCTTTGCGCTCCTCTGACCAAGGCCTGCTCGTTGTCCCTCGTTCTAGGTGTTGTACTCGCGGGGACCGGGCTTTCTCAGTCCTAGCACCGTCACTATGGAACCAGTTGCCACCCTCAGTTAGGCTGTCCCCATCTCTGCCAGTCTTCAAGAGCTGCCTAAAAACCCACCTCCTCCGCTTGGCGTTTCCTGAACATGTTTGAATTTGGCCCTCTTTTATGTTGATTTTATCTCACAGTTTTCATTGGTTCAATTTTTCCCTTGTTTTACACATTTGTCTTCTACTAGAATGTTTCACCTTTTTTGTAATTTGTAATCTGTAATTTGAATTGCTTTTATTTTCTGATTTATTCACTTTATTTAACTTTGTACTGTACAGTGTTCAGCGCCTTGGGCTTCCTGACAGGGTTGCGGAAGGCGATTTATAAATAAAGCTTTGATTTGATTTGATGTGGAAACTTTGAGTTAACTCTCTTGAATAATGACTGGTTCTCGCTGATACATCATGAAAGCTATTTTTTTACATGAATTTATGAAACACTTTTGCACCAGTTAGTGTTCTAAGATATTAAACATCATTACCAATCTTGTAAAGTGTTTCTTTTTATATTTTTTTTCTCACCATTATTGTCAAAATGTTTCTTGCCTGTTAATTCAGAGGTAGGACTAGGTTACACACAGTGGGTGATGTTACATCTAACAGTGTGTCATGGTCTGTGTCTACGTCTCCCTCATGTGTCTCCTTGTGTGCTCCATTCCCCTCTAAGAATCCCTCTTATGTCTCTCTTTGGCCCTGTCCACACGTAGCCGGGGATCTGCCAAAACGTAGATATTTTTCTACGTTTTGGCCTGTCATCCACACGAAAACGGAGTTTTTTCACACAAAAATGGATCTTTTTAAAAACTCCGGCCAAAGTGAAGATCTGCGTTTTCTCTGTTTTGGGTGTCTGCGTGTGGACAGAAAAAAACGGAGTTTTAAGGTCTGCAACGTCACTTTCCGTGACAAAAAAATGCTGACATCACGTGTGCGACCTGTGTTTACACTAGTCGACAGCATGGATTCCCTCAGAGCTGCGCTTGCTTTATCAATTGTCCGAGCGCTTTTTGCTTGTTTGTTTTTGCAAGCGGAATTAATGCTCCTTGCGGAAGACCACAGACGAAGGACGAGGTTAAGAACGGGGGAAGTACTGCCGCCTACAGGTCTGGCATGTCCTTAACAACGTATTTATCCGGGTACGTGTGAACAGTTTTTTTTTTAAACGAGGTGGTGTGGATGCAAGTTTTTGGAGGGGCGGATATTCGTTTTTTTAAAACCCGGCTACGTGTGGACTAGGCCTTAGTGTTCCTCATGTGTCCCCTGGTCTTCTGCCCTCCAGATATTCCCTCCCAGGTCCTGTGTTCCTTCTGTCTTCCCCAGTCACCCCTCTGCAGTTTTTTATAGGTTCAGCTTCTCATTTTATTAGTCTCTTTAGTATGTTTTCCCACAGGTTTTTTGTAGTTTTCCTATCCCTTAGGATATTAGTTATTTTGCTGCCTCTTCTTGTCTTTAGGTTTTTTACTCTAAGGTCATGTTAGTTTCTTCCCTGATTACTTCCCTTCTCTGTTCACCTGGTCTCTCTCCCCACACACCTGCAGGTCATCTCCCTCTCATCCTCCCAAGTGTATAAAGCCCTGTCTGTGTCTCAATGTCTTGTCGGTCCATTGTTTTGTGTCAGCGTTGTTTTGTGCTCTATGTGAGCTTTTGTGCCTAGTCTCTTGGTTTGTGCTCTATGTGAGCTTTCGTCTCCTTGATGTTCAGGACTTTGGTTTTTGGCTTCCTGCCCATTTTGGATTTTTTGTTTCCTCATCCTAATAAAAAGGATTTTACTTTAAAACCGCTCCTGCCTCGTGTCATCTGGTGTTATCTGCATCTTGGGTCCTAACCTCCTCCTAAACTGCAACGTGACACAGTGCCACATACCTATAATACCTATACTTTTACTTATAATGGACAAAGAACTGCATTAAAATGCTAATATGCATTTTTGAGTAAGAAAAAAATCCAGATTACTTATTTTTTATGTTAGAATGTAATTCATTTAAACAGAAAACACAGAAGCTTCACATCCTCTAAACATAAATAAGTTGGAAGATTAAATATTTGCAACTTTTGCCAGTGATGAAGCATCAAATTTAATCACTTTAATATCCCCACTGAAAAACAATCATTCTCTTTGTTATAATTTATTATAACACAATGCAATTAATCTTAAGGTAATAATGTGGGGTATTAATGATACATAACTTCCTACTCAATCATACCATAATCATTTTATCTTTTTGTTTATTTCAGCAGCATTTTTCCTGTTAAAATGGCCTCTTACCAAAAGATTAGCCTGCCTGTCAAATTGTTGATGATTGGAGCTTAGGGATGTGCGGATCGATACTAAAGTATCAGTACTACAGATTCAGGCTATTTATGTATTGGAATCAATACTCTCATTAAAGTATTGACATTTTAGTACTTTAAATTTAATAATTTTAAAGAAATAATCTAAAATTATCTTTCTTTGGTCAGAACAACTTCTTCTGTCAACCATGATAAGGCACAGTATAAATACTCTAAACTGCACACTGTGCTCCCTTCTGATTGTGCTGCAGCTGGAAGCTTACGGTTAGCCAGAGAACGTGGCAGAATGTAAACATAGTTGTGTGGAGGTAATTGGTGCAGCAATGAAGAAATATGTTAATTGTAGGAAGACTGTGAGGTATTGCGGTAACATCACAAATCTCATTAAACATCTATAAATCAATCATGAGTCAGAATATAAAGACGTCATGATGAGGTGGCCAGAGGAGGTAGCTGCTAGCGTGAAACAGACATCTCTCTTGGAGTCCTTTGGTGCTTCAGGCAGGTGTCATCCAGGTATAAAAGGCGAGACAACGGAGCTGTTTCAGATGTTTTGTACGGTCGCTGAATTCAGAACAATTATTTACATCTGTCTGCTGCAGGTTTTGGTTTTTGTGCTGTTATTTTTAGTCATTTAATTACACCATCGTTTTATGCTCCCTGTGTATTTATATTACATGTAGATGATTCTCCGAGATCAACACACTGGACGAAAGTGAAGAATTTGAGAGGGTTGTTGACCAAAATATCAAATCCCAGGCAGAAACATACTCATTGAGACGTATCTGTGCAAAGTTAGAATCTGAATATATTACTTTGTGTTTTAATTTTTCAAACAAAAAATCTTTGAACAAAGTATTGGTATCAGTATCGCAGATACTGGAGCTAATTTTACTTGGTATTGAAAAGGAAATCAGTGGTATTCCACATTGCTAATGGAGCTAATTAAGAAATAAGAAAAATAGTGATGTTAACTATTTTAAGTATTGCAAAAATGTTTCTATATAAAGTTTTAAAAACTGAGGGGTAGATTTGAAGCTTTTAGTAATGTCTGGGACTGGCTTTGGCTAACCCAGCTTTTATCAGTTTCTCCAGAAGAAAACAAAACCAAAAAGAAAGGTTACTGCTGAGTGTAAAGCACATGAGATTAAGTTTAATAACAGAGATAAAATACTTGATCGTTTTTTTTAGTGCTAGTGCACACACTTTGCACAGATTACATCTTTGGCATAAACTTCAAAATGTGGAACCCTTGAAGCAGTCAGTGTTTGTAGTTTCAGGATACATAGGGAGTCACCTTTGTGCTTTCACGGCTTGACAGAGAGGTGAGAGAGGGTACACAGTTCAGATAATTCATGAGTTACATTCAGGAGGTAGGCTGTTGAATATATCTAAATTTAACCACTGTGTGTGTGTGTGTGTGTGTGTGTGTGTGTGTGTGTGTGTGTGTGTGTGTGTGTGTGTGTGTGTGTGTGTGTGTGTGTGTGTGTGTGTGTGTGTGTGTGTGTGTGTGTTCTCCTTCCATATTAAACAGAACCTAAAACGTCAGCAATCATCACTTTGTTGAGATCGATCTGTTTTGAATTGTGCTCCGCCAGGCGTTTCACAGCTGCAGGGAGAACGGAAGCTCTCTGCAGAGATGATGTCATCGCGTTTGATGGTGGCGATGTCATCTTAACTCAAAACCTTGTAGTGGTTTCCCCAGAAAACCAGAAAACCAAATTATGTGCTGTCAAAATAATCTTCCTTTAATATATATATATATATATATATATATATATATATATATATATATATATATATATATATATATATATATATATATATATATATATTATTTTTATTTATTTATTTATTTATTTTACCTTCAAAGGGCTTTTTGGAGATCTGCTCTAAATTTAATTTTCCCAAGAAAATGTATTAGAAGTGGCAGAGAAAACTTCAGATCTGTGCTGTGCTTGTGTGGTCTATGGAAGGAGACATTACAGACTGACAAGGATAACTAATCTAGTGTAAGGGTTTACAATGTGAGATTTGGGGTTAAATTATGATCAATAAGCTGTGATTATTCAATACAAATATAGGATATCACCCTGATTGATCTGCGAATGTTTAACCAGAAGAATTTAGGATTCTTTGCTTAATCAGGGACCATAACACACTTCGTATTAATTTAGACAGAGTCAAGGATATAATTAAAAATACACTTTATTTTCTAGACTAATTATATATATATGAGTCATATGACAGCTGTGAATAATATGATGGATGAATATGTGTGAATGGATGTATGGTGATGTGTGATCAGAACCTTTGTATCTGAAAGAGATTGTGAATTCTGGGTGTAGAGAATTTTGTGGTTTGTTATAAGCTAGAGAGTTGATTATTTATAAAACGGCATCAGACACCAGTATGGAGGTCTATGATACCCTTGTATGAGTTGCTCCCGGCGGTCCGGGTTTGGGGTCAGAGTGGTAAGGTCACCGTGTAACAACCTTCGATTGTCACCTCACCACACGGTTCCTCCCACCATTTACACCCAGCCACCGTCCTGATTGCAATTCCCTGCGCACCTGTGTTACTCCACTCCACCCTTTAACTGCTTACCTGTCTCGCTCATCTCTCTCAGTCTCCTGCGAGCAGCAGCGTGTTGTGAAGGAGCTGGAAAGCAAAGAAGCGATTGTTTAAATTTTCTCTCCAAGCACCGAGGTTGTTAATCCCTCTACGCTGGTGATAAAGGAAGGAAACGAGTTAACTTTCGCCGAGGTCATCGCCAAGACGCCACTTTATCTGATCAATCCAACAACATATGTAAGTGCACAGCGATCTCTATTGGAAAAGAAAACAAAACAAACCTTCCCTTATCTGAATTTCTTTCAAAGGAAGAACCTACCTTCTCTGGACCTCCAGCTGAAGAAATCCTCATCTCACATCAAAACGTGAGTCTTAACCCACAAATATTAGTATAGCAAATATAAGAGAAAATCAAATAATAAAAGGGGGACACTTTGTTCTCTTTAGTAAAAACATAGACTCCTCAATGGGTTCCTTAGTCACCCTGTTGAGTAAGTTGATTTACTTTTTATTTCTTTACCCTTAATATAGAAAAATGTACATATTGTAAATTCTTGTTCTGTGTTATAGCTTCTTTTTGTTATACCCTTGTATACCACGCCTGACCTCAGGAGGAAGAATAAATTAACTTCAATTCCAGAATTGACTTGCTGACCTTTTGATTTGTTGGTGTTTTCTTTGTTTTTCTTAAAGTTGGTATAAGGGTATATATCTAGTAATATATGTCCTTGTGTAGCAGGTTTTCCTTTAATTATTAAACATCCTATAAGTCAGGAGGGAGACCTGACTGGCACCCCTAAAAATAAATAAAAAAAATAAAACGTTACAACCAGACGTCGAGACCACGATCCTCAGAGATAAGTAGCTTCCTCTGAGTTCAAGCTTCCCCGGTCATGAGATACAACACGGGTCTACAGATTAGACATCCAAGATGGATGTCTGAGAGCTGCTGCAGCTCTGAAAAGAGCTGTTGCATGTAATAACTTGAAGTGTCGTGGCAAGGTTTTGACTCAAGGTCAAAGGAGGTTGTTTCAACATGGCTTCTTCCCGATGTGGCCGAATCGAGGTGTCAGCTGGAAACTGAGTTAATCGGGAAGTAAATTATGTTTTTTTAACACCATGTTATGATTCTGGCAAATCAGAATCTGACATGCTTGTTGACATTTACCAAACATCCCTCAGAAACCACATCTTCCAGATACAAGATGTTCTACTTCTGTGGATAAAGAATAATTGTGTGCAGTGACATTAACTGTCATTTATATCTTATGAGCACTGTGTATGAGTGTAGATAATGATTCACTTGTTAAACCAAACATTACTGATCATAACATCAAAATGTTTCATTGTAATATTAAAATTCATTTCAACTTCATTGAATTAGGCACAGACTAATCAAGCATTAATATTATTATTCATATAACATTTGTTGTTCTCCTCCTTGAACTGTCACCTTATCGTGGTGGAGGAGTTTGAGTGCCCTAATGATCCTAGGAGCTATGTTGTCTGGGGCACTTTGTGCCCCTGGTAGGGTCTCCCGTGGCAAATGGATCTTAGGTGAAGGGTGAGACAAAGAGCGGTTTCAGAAGATCTTTCATGGACATAAGAACAAAGAGTCGGAGTACCCGGCCTGGAGGGTTACCGGGGTCCCACCCTGGAGCCAGGCCTGGGGTTGGGGCCGATGAGCAAGCACCTGGTGGCCGAGCTTTCGCCCATGGGGCCCAGCCGGGCCCAGCCCGAACCGGATACATGGGCTCATCCAACTGTGGACCCACCACCCGCAGGAGGAACATGAAGAGTCCGGTGCAGTGTGGATCGGGTGGCAGACCGAGGCGGGCGCCTTGGCGGTCCGATCCCCGGACAAGGAAACTGGTTATTGGGACATGGAACGTCACCTCACTGGCGGGGAAGGAGCAGGAGCGTGTGGCAGAGGTTGAGCAGTACCGGCCAGATATAGTCGGACTCCCCTCGACACATAGCATTGGCTCTGGAACCCAAGTCCTTGAGAGGGGTTGGACACTCTCCTTTGCTGGAGTTGCTCTGGGTGAGAGGCGGAGGGCTGGGGTTGGCTTTTTGTTAGCCCCAAAACTCTCTGCCTGTGTGTTGGGGTTTACCCCAGGGGACGAGAGGGTAGCTTCCCTGTGCTTTCGGGTCGGGGAATGGGTCCTACCTGTAGTTTGTGCTTATGTGCCAAATATCAGTCCAGATTACCCACCCTTTTTGGAGTCCCTGGGACAAGTGCTAGATAGTGCTCCATCAGGGGACTCCATTGTCCTGCTGGGGGACTTCAATGTTTACTTGGGCAATGATAACATTACCTGGAGGGGTGTGATTGGGAGGAAAGGCCCGCCTGATCTGAACTTGAGTGGTGTTTCGTTATTGGACTTCTGTGCAAGCCGCAGTTTGGCCATAACGAACACCATGTTTGAACATAAGGATGCCCATAGGTATGCTTGGTACCAGGGCAGTCTAGGTCGCAAGTCGATGATAGACTGTAGTTGTATCATCTGACCTGCGGCCGTATGTTTTGGGCACCCGAGTGAAGAGATGAGCGGAGCTGTCAACTGAGTTGGATCAGATGCCAGGGGAAGATGCCGCGTAGACCTAGCAGACCAAAACGCATAGTGAGGGTCTGCTGGGAACGCTTGGCAGAAGAACCTGTCAAGACGGTCTTCAACTCCCACCTCCCGCAGAGCTTTGACCGCGTCCCGAGAGCAGTGAGGGACATCAACTCCGAGTGAGCCTTGTTCCACTCTGCGATTGTTGAGGCGGCTGTTGCTAGCTGTGGTCGCAAGGTGGCCTGTGTCAGTCGTGGTGGCAACCCCGTACCCGCTGGTGGACACCAGAGGTTCGGGGAGCCGTCAGGCTGAAGAAGGAGGCCTACAGGGCGTGGCTGGTCTGTGGGTCTCTGGAGGCTGCAGGTGGGTACTGGATAGCCAAGCAGGGTGCAGCAGTGGCAGTTGCCGAGGCAAAAATCTTGGGCATGGGAGGAGTTTGGTGAGGCCATGGAGAAAGACTATCGATAGGCGCCAAAGAGGTTCTGGCAAACTGTCCGGTGCCTCAGGAGAGGGAGGCAGCAACTCGCTCACACTGTTTACAGTGGGAATGGGGAGCAGCTGACGTCAACTGGGGCTATAGTCGGGCAGTGGAAGGAATACTTTGAGGAGCTCCTCAATCCCACTCCTCCGCATTCCCTGGAGGAGCCAAAGCCGGGAGACCTGGGGATGGACTGTCCAATCTCTGGGGCAGAAGTTGCTGAGGTAGTCAAACAACTACACAGCGGCGAAGCCCCGGGGGTGGATGAGATTCATCCTGGGTATCTCAAGGCTATGGACGTGGTAGGGCATCGGGGGCAGTGCCTGTGGAGTGGCAGACCGGGGTGGTGGTCCCCATCTTTAAGAAGGGTGACTGGAGGGTGTGTTCCAACTATAGGGGATCCAACACATTCTCACTCCCAG